TGGCCTCGAACTCACAGAGATCCGCCTGCCTCTGCCTCCCGAGTGCTGGGATTAAAGGCGTGCGCCACCACCGCCCGGCCACCCCTCTTCTTTTTAAGGGGAAAAAAAAAAGTTTAAGCGTATAAGCCTCATGTGGCAGCATAGCATTGACCATTGAGAACTTGAGAAGACCAGTGTCATTCAGAAATGGAAGTCAGTGTCACAGAGAAGCCCTTCTGCACCTTAACCTGTGTGTTCGGGCTGCCTTCCGAGGGAAGCAAGCTGTAAACAGGAATGGAACAGTTGGAAGTTTCCTTTTGTGGTTTGGAGTTATTCTAAGGCAAAAGCCATGCTTACTTATGACAAAAAACAAGTCACTTGAGCCTAATGACCTTCCAGTACAATGACACTGTTCTTAAGAATAACACGAGAGAATGCTAGTAGGCAGAATAGTTTGCTTTGCTCCCACAGAGGTGGCCACCAACAAAAACCCTAAGACAAAGCTTTCATTCTGCCGTGTTAGTAATAACCAACGTTTTTGGTTGTTGTTGAAGTATAATGTCCAAACAAAGAAATGTATGTTATCTATAAAGGAAGAGTTTGGGTGACTTTTTGTTGGACTGTACACACCCATGTAACCAGCACCCAAACGGAGCCCAAGCATATTTAGCACCCAAGACACCTCCTTCATGCCCCGTGCCTATCCCAGGAAATCACTGTCCTGATTTCCAGCAGCATCAATGAGTCATTCTGTTTTTCTATTTTATATAAACCAATCACTACCCTATTGACTATTTCCTAGCTATTTTAAGGAAGAGGAGAAAGCATTTTGAGAAGTTTTATTGTAGTGCTAGTGAATTTAATAAAGCTTAGGTAATTTGCATTTTTTCAATAGATGGTATTGTTGAACTTCACTTAAGAGGTGTATCTACAAGAACAGTGATCGTGTGTGTGTGTGTGTGTGTGTGTGTGTGTGTGTGAGAGAGAGAGAGAGAGAGAGAGAGAGAGAGAGAGAGGTCATGCAGTTAATTATTCTTTAATCTATTCGTCTTGTTTCCATTATCTTTCAGGTATAAAAACCAGGTGCCTATCAATGTCCATGCAAACCCGGGAAAGTACATCATTGAAAGTCGGTATGGAATGCACACTCTTGAGATCAGCAAGTAAGAGAACATCGGTGCTTGTGTGTGCCACCCAGTAGTCACTCGGGGAAGCACCTTACCACTCCAGGTCATAGACAAAATCCACTGGTCTCAGTGCAATGGTTATTCATTTATGTTTCACTTGATGCAAACATATAAGGTAACATGCATGACTAAGTCTGCCATGCCCACAGTACCCCCAACATGATCTCACATTTGAATTTCATAATAGATGACAAAATGAGCATGTATGTTTTGATTTATCCTTCTCTATATGAGCATATCCTATAGAGATTATTAAGGAGGTAATTGCCTAAGTAGGCAATTCTATGTCAGTATAATCAGAATTCCAAACCTACTGTACTGTGTTCTTTTATTTTTAATTGACAAAAGGCATAGAAGCTGGGATGGGTGTCACTGAGAGCTGGATAGGCTGAGAGAATGTCCTTTCCTTCAGCTCATCTGAAACTATGAGATGTATCAAGGTTAAGCAAAATTTGAAATGGAAGCTCTATTGAAGTTTCCAAGTCATTAAAATGTATAATGTTTCCCAAGATAGTTTGAAATGCAAACCTGATTATGTGGACGAGAGAGCAAACAAGTGCACACCGTTTCAGTTCCGACAAGGCCCATGTGCTGAGCTGTAAAGGGAACTGACACTGATCATCAAGACTGACAGCTTTCTCCCCAATGGAAGAGTTGGCTCGGTACATACTGGGCTTCAGACAGAACCCGGGCATCCCTGACATTCACCAAGCTCTGATCTGAAATGGTATCACTTCTGCTGAAGCAGCAGTGAATCTTGTGGTTGCTTTTTAAAATTAAACAGCTCTGAGAAAGGTGATTGTATTTACCTCCCTGGAGTCTAATGTCTTTTCATGTCTGCAACACGTAAGTGTATCACGGATGAAACTACACAAAACCCCGAGAAACAAGGAAGAACCCGGGAACTAGTGTGACTAGACACAGCACAGCCTACTTTGAAATCTCAGCCTGACCTCTGTGAGAGTGTTTTTCCCTGTTCCGTCTTTGTAAGACGTTCCTATACTGTTTCTGTACTATAACTTAAAGGAACACCCAGATAGTACTTGACTTGTGTTCTGCTATGAGCTGGAACTCCAAGTGGAACCCAACACCAGTAGAACCAAAGTATGAAGTCGCTTGTGTTTGGAAACTAGAACACAGAATGATGTGTAAGACCAGCCTTGCTCAGGTTTGTGCCTCAGGGAGGCTGTGGGAAACTATCATGAGAAGTTGTTTCTTTCTGTTCCCTGTTATCCTGATGTCACCAGACTGAACCCCACCTCCTGGGACAGGACAACATGGAGCAAACACACTCAGGGTCGTTACCTGCTACAAAGCTATGCGTGGATGGGTGTTTTCTCCTTCAGTAGTACAAAGCAGTATTTGCTGTGTAATTTATAGCCTTAGTACTGGATTAGCTTTTTGTTTGGCATTTTAAATGAACCAGTGTTAGAGTCACAGTAGAGGTTTTCTTCCTGCCCTACTGCACTGTGAAAATTAGTAGGTAATTTGGACTATATAGTGTCCCACAGGACCAGAGATAGTCCCTTCATCAAGAGTCCTAAAGAGGTACAGGTCAGCCACTGATTTGCAATCTGCTATGTTAGCCAAGACTTTCTTGACAAAACAACCACCAGTTCCAGGGAGTCACCACCACGGTCATTCATTTCCATGTGTTTCTGCAGATGTGACTTTGAAGACACGGCTCAGTACCGGGCCTCAGCGATGAATGTTCAGGGAGAGCTCTCGGCATACGCCTCTGTTGTGGTCAAGAGTAGGTTTGCCCTTGCTTTGTTCAAAGTGGATTGAAAACTCCTTCCTGTGCTAAAAAGCCAGGCAATCACAAAGCAGTTCGTGTGTTCTCCTTTCTTCTCTAGGATACAAGGGGGAGTTGGATGAGACTCACTTCCGTGCGGGAGCGTCCATGCCTCTCAGCTGTAAGTTTAACAGCAGCACATTTGCTACATGTCATCGTTATGCAAGGTGTAGCACAGTAATGCTCCAATTCCAAACAGCGTTCTGAAGCCTTGAGTTTAGGGAAGCAACATGATTTTTAAAATGATGAGATAAATTCACAATGCTTATGGTGTATTAGCACTTGCCAGGATGGATATAATACCACCCAGCCATAGTTAGTTTGTTTTTAAATTCTTTGGTTCCTATTCTGTTTCCAAGTTTAATTGTTTTTTTCTTTATATTTTAAAAGTAGCCTGTGTGTGTTTGTTAAACTGATCATATGCTCAGAATGAAAAGGACAGTCCAGCCCTCACTTACACATTAAATCATGAATGGTGGTTCTGAACATACTTAACACTAATACTTTCTTCTGGCTTCATCTTCCACTTAACTGGCTAGTTTGCTGTCTGTAGATTACCTATTCCTTGACTTCATGAATGACTCCTAACTTCAAAGTTACAATCCCTGGTATCAATCCCGGGGATGGAAAGGATCTTTTCCCTTAACATCAGTAATTCTGAAATCATGGCATCGCTCCCAGAGTCCCCATGATTGGCCTGATTTATCATTTCCCAGTCCCCTGACCTTATCCTGCTCATTCCCGTAGCCAAATTTCTCCCCTTTTCTTCTTCTCTTTCAAGCCAGGTTCTGAAAGCCCAGCCTGACTCTGTTTCTTCCAGAGTGTCTTCTGATTGCCTCCTGACTTAGTGCGTCTGTTCCTAACATACGAAACACAAACATCTCTGTATGTGCAGTAGGTAGATGAACGTGCATCGCTGGATTCCAGTAAAACCATAAATATGGACACTGAAATTTGGATTTCCGATGACTTTTCACAGACCATAAATACTAGATTTTTTTTATCCTTTTCAACTATCAAAAAAATCTAAAAATAAAACCCATTCTTAATGATACCAAATAGGAAGCAGTCTGGATTTGACTTACAGGTTCCCCCAGACACTGCCATTTCCCCCAGATGGAAACCATATTTGATACAGGCCTGCAGACGTGACAGTGGACTGCTTTGTCTCCTGGTAGTTAGAACTGACTTCCCACGGAATACCAAGGCACTCTCTTGATGGTCCAGCTCAATCCCACATCTGGAGAAGTTAGAGCCTGCCTGCATCTCCAGTTGGGTTTGGGACCTTAGGGATGATAAAGAACTTCCTTATAATTCTCCTCTGTCCCCCAGGGCAGCTCTGGAATCACCTAGCCTCTGAAGATTGTGCAGGATCTGAGCCAGTCAAATCTCTCAGGTTTCATTGGAATATTATCACATAGAAATTAGGCAGACTGGAGATGTTCTTCAAAGAGAAGCTATTTCCCCATTGGCTAGTGGTTACCTGGTAACACACAAGTTCAATGTATTGGTTGAAAACCAAAGTTATAGAAAGTTCTATGGGTGAATATGGGCAGACATATAACCTTACCTTGGAGTCACACACAACAGTTTCTTCTGTGGAGAACATAATGATACTTACTTGATAGAATCATTATGGGCTTATCTGAACTGATAGTTACTACTTAGAATATCTGACAGAATTGAACTCAATGAAGGACAGGTTGTATTTTCAAGATAATGTTTCAAGGCCCTGGGAAAAGAGACAAAACATAACAAGAAAGGACTCAAGAACTAGACTCAGGCAGTCATGGCTTGTGAAGTGACGGCATTAGCTGTCTGCTATCTTCATGAGTTCCTATAATCAGAATGAGTTTTGCTATCAGGTTCTTGCAAGGAAGAGACTATGTGCCCCATGTGAAGCGCCTGGCACACTAGGTAACCTGTCTATATGTGGCCATTTCTTTCCTAACCCAGAAGAGTTGACAGGATGTAGACATTTGCTTAATCTATCAATACTTCTAAGAGTGATCTTTGAGAAGTTATAATATTTTAAACTTTTAGTATTTTCCTATTGATGTTTCTTATAATATTTTATATAGATCATAAAAGAAAATGAAGTAACTTTCTGAAAAAAGATATGAATAATTAATAGGGCTGTTTTATCCCAAGAGTGTAAGCAGTAGGATTTATCTCAAAATCTAAGATTAAAAAGCCCCTAAATTATAGCTAAGAAGTCTAGGCTAAATGTTGTTACATGTGACTCTTTAAATTGTGTTCCTATAATAATAATATGGACATTTAGCTTATATGATCAAGGACATAAGAGTTTTTACACATATGATGTATGCATACATGTATTTCTTATGTAGAACTTGATTTTGCCCACATAATTTGGTCTATTTTTTTGTAGCTACCCTCTGCCCATGCTTATTAAAAATTCGGCATCCCCTTGGAGAGACATATCACTGGTGTTTGTTTCTGTTGTGCCCAGTTGCTGTGACCCCTTACGGTTATGCATCCAAGTTTGAGATCCACTTCGATGACAAGTTTGATGTGTCTTTTGGGAGAGAAGGAGAGACGATGAGTCTGGGCTGTCGTGTGGTCATCACTCCCGAAATTAAGCACTTCCAGCCCGAGGTCCAGTGGTACAGAAATGGTGAGTCTTTCGACTGAGTCCTTACCTTGATTCTTATTAAAAGAAGCATGTGGGCCAGTTGCAGATCTGCTTCCCGGGGCTAGGAGAGCCTGTAAGCTGAAGACAACACTCTGCTGTACTAAGTTTTTAACATACATTTTAAAACAATCACACACACACACACACACACACACACACACACACACACACACGTGTGTGTGTTTATTCTCTGAGGCAGGGTCTCACTGTGTAGCCCTGATTGTCCTGAAACTCACTATGTAGAGCAGGCTGGCTTCAAACTCAGAGATATGACTGCCTCTGCCTCTGCTTCCCCAGTATGGGAATTAAAGGTCTGAGCCAACATGCCCAGCTAAAATATATTTCTGAAGGTAATATTTTCTTGTCACCAAGTAATATGTGTAATAAATTACCAAAAACCTGTATATTTACTTTGTAATCTAGGTTACTTGATAAAGTATTTTTCCTTATAGATATCATTTATAGGAGTTGTATAAAACTTTAAAAACATATATAACATCATGAAACAATTAAGTATTATTAATTAATCAGCAGAGTAAATTCTCAGAAGCAATTTAGACATTTAGGTTTTATGAGACAGGATTTCTTTGTGTAGCCTTGGCTGTCCTGGCACTCACTCTGTAGCCCAGGCTGGCCTCGAACTCAGAGATCCACTTGCATCTGTCTCCTGAGCTGGGATTAAAGGCATGCACCACCACTCCTGGCTAGTAATCTTATGTTAATGTGATAGTCTCTTCATAACTTAAGAGTTTATAGTAAATATATTCTTCATACAAAATATGTAGACTAGTACAATAACAGACACAAAATAAATAAAAATTATCCTCTTTGCTGGGGAATGTAAACGTTGCCATCACACAGGACTGCTCTGGAAGGCTACCTGAGCTGAGTTCAATGCTATGTAGCCATTGGCTTGACATTCATTTCATTTTATTTATTTTTAATTTAATTTAATTTTATGTGTATGGATGTTTTGCCCAGATATATGTTTGTGCATTATGTGTATGCCCTGACAGAGGAGGCCATTAGGTCCCCCAGAACTGGAGTTACAGATGGTTGTAAGACACCATGTGGGTGCTGGGAATTGAACTCAAGTCCTTAGGCAAAGCGGCTAGTGTTCTTAACCACAAAGCCATCTCTCAAGCCCCTCATTTTATCTGCAAACTTACATTTTATATGTGAAGCCCTATGGGACTACAGAGCATGCACAGAACAGAGAAGACAGGCCGAGTGGGAATATAGATAATCATAGGCTGGGGTTAGTGGTGGGCCATGGGCATCATGCCCTCTACGCTGAGGGCCTGACCATCAGGTGTACATGTGAACACCTGGGGCAGTCTGGGGCCCCTAAGGTTCCAACATGCTGGTTGGGACCATGACCTGACCCAATTGGAATTAGCAAGGTCATAGTCCCAGCAGCAGCAACAAAGTGGCTGTGGCCCCAGACAGAACAGACTCTACAGGAAACAATAGGGGGATCCAATAGGAGGTAGTTCCCCCACCTACCCCAGAACTCATTTCTGGGGGCTATGGGCTGGAAACTAACCACACACACACACACACACACACACACACACACACACACACACACACACACACACGCACAGGGACAGGACTGAGTAGCCTGCAGCAAGCTTATCTGTGAAATACCATACATCCCATTGAGCTCGTAGACTGAAGGAGAGCGAGTGAGGAGGTTAGTCTTCTTCCGAGTTTGGAACCTTTGGCTCTGAATCTTAAAATACAATTTAAAGACTGTAGCATTCAATGGAAAGACCATGTTTTTCATGTAAGTTTCTGAGTGGGCCAGTTATTAACAAAAGGAACAGTTGTAGAAATAGTTCTTCCTTTTGCTGAAAACATAGAGATGGAATGCATAAGCAGGAATTTTGGATTGTATATAAAGCATGACTTCTAAAAGTTAAAGGACATACCAGAATAAACATTAAAATATAATTGTATAAATTTACATTTAAAATTAAGTTCAGATAATACAAAAATGATTGTACAATTGAGTCATTTTAGAAAAAAATCTTACTCAACAGACACCAATTCTAGAATATTAAGATTTTTATTTATCTGTTGCACATAATTATGGCACTAATTTTTTTTTGTAGTTTCTATGACCCCTGTTATAAGTAACAGGATATTTTTAAATGAAGAGAGGCTATCTTCATTAGGGTTAATATTGCTGTGACGAAAAACCACAGGAAGGGTTTATTTGGCCTACAATTCCACATCACAGTATCACGGAAGAAGTTAGGCCAGGAACTCACACAGGCCAGGAACCTGGAGGCAGAAGCTGATGCAGAGGCCAGGGAGGGGTGCTGCTTACTGGCTTGCTCGTCATGGTTTGCCCAGCCTGCTTTCTTATAGGACCCAGGACCACTAGTCCAGGGATGGCACCACCCACAGTGGGCTGGGCCCTGCCCCATCAATCACTAATTAAGAAAATGCCCTGCGGCTGGATCTACGGAGGCATTGTCTCAATTGAGGTTCCCTCCTTCCAGATGACTCTAGCCCATGTCAAGTTGACATAAACCAGCCAGCACAGCGGCGAAACTCAACACTTTGAACTTCTCTGCTCTTTGAACACAGAGCTTTACATTTTAATTTTGTCAGATGTTACAAATCATGTGTCTGCCATGGAGCTCCTCACTTCTGTCTAGCATTTTCCCTAATATTAAACACACCAGGGTGGTTTAAAGATCTAGAGAGTTCTAAGAGTCAAGTGACCTTCAGTGTGGAAGGAAGGAGAGAGGGAGGGGTGAAGTGGGGAAGAGGGGGAGCTAGGGAGGGTCACGTCAGTGAATCTGCTTGTTTTTTACATCTCTAGGAGCACCTGTTTCTCCGTCGAAATGGGTGGAAACGCGCTGGAGTGGAGACCGGGCAACGCTCACGTTCTCTCACCTCAACAAAGAAGACGAAGGCCTCTACACAATCCGAGTGCGGATGGGAGAGTATTATGAACAATACAGCGCTTACGTCTTTGTTCGAGGTAAGACCTGGCAAAAAGCAGAACACACAGCCACACTCCAACCCTGAGGCCACGGTCAGTCCAGCATGTTATAGTAATGGTCAGAGTCCTTAAAAAGTCCTCCCAATAACCCGGAACGGGACTAGGCCGAGTACAAACTGATCCTCACAGGCACCAGCACAAGGGTAACTAGTTTCCAGACCGTGTCTGTCACTAACAAGAGGAGACTGTCCTTAATGTCACGAGGACAATGAGTGGAGCCTCTAAATTCTCATAGTTTGGAAACCTGTCTTAGTTCATGGAAGCTGCCACGAAAGACTCAACATTGTTTGGAGACTTCCTCCTTAATCAGCACCTCAGAGAGCGAACATATTATTTCATGCCAGACTCCTTCTCGTGGCTTTGATTTGATGAGGAAGGAAACATGTGTGGAACTTAGTTCTCACACCATCTTTTCCCACTAGAGTCTTGAACGGATCGGGTATGTTCAGCGACATGTTGCTCTCCATGGGACCCTAGCACTTTCAACCTGTGCTCTATGTTTTTTTCATGTAATAGGCATGTACAGCCTCAGGAGACACAGAATAGCCTCAAGGAAACAAAGTGTATTCTACTCGCAGGTCTCAGAAGCGGGAGGCTCCTCAGGGCCACATGGGAAAGCACCAGGGTCAATGGCTCCAGAGGCCAAAGGTCAGGAACTTGGGAGAACTTGGACTGTGGTCTTCACTGGAGTTGTCCAGAAAGGGAAAGGTGGTTAGATTGACTTTGGGGGGCTCTGAGCTGTGGAGGTCCTCTGTAAGTGCCTAGTTAAGGGTAGAGGGCAGGTAGGGGGTACGGGAGGCTGGTTGAGAATGTTCCTCCTGGGTGGTGTGGACCAGGTGGAGGAGACTTGCAGGACGCTTGTTCTGCATGTCCAAGCCCTCCTGTGGAGAGAGGTTGTCGTCCCTAAGCTTCAGATAGTCTGGGAAGGAGCAGCCTCTCTGCAGCCAGAAAGAGTAGAGGACATCAAAATACAAAGACAATTAAAAGTATAAACAATATGGAGGATTTACTAATTTTTATCTCTCATGTACTAAATAGAAAAATTAACTCATAGGCATTTTGATGTAGATGGAACTATAGATACCATCCAGATGCTTTAACAGTAAGATCAAAGACTCACACTAGCTCTGTAATTAGAACCTTGTATCAATATAATTGATTTATTCTGGCTGGGTGGTTGTGGCGCACACCTTTAATCCCAGCACTCTGGAGGCAGAGCCAGGTGGATCTCTGTGAGTTCGAGGCCAGCCTGGTCTACAGAGTGAGATCCAGGACAGGCACTAAAATTACACAGAGAAACCCTGTCTTAAAAAACCCAAACAAAAAAAAAAAATTGATTTCTTCTGAAATCTCATGTCTTTTATAAATTTTAAAGCATTGTTATTACTGGGTTCAGGAGACAGCTCAGTTGGTAGACTGCTTGCCAGGTAAGCATAAGGACCTGAGTTCAGATCCCCAGCACCCCGGGGGGGGGGGAGGCTCCCACCTGTATGTCCAGTGCTGGGGAGACAAGATAAGAGGGTCTGTGGGGCGTCTGCCCAGCCACTGTTGCTGAATCTGCTGGTTCCACGTTCAGTTAGAGACCTTGTCTCAAAAAGCAGGGTGGAGATTGACCAAGGAAGATGCCCAACATCAGCCTCTGGTCTACACACATATCAGCACACACCTGACACATGTATACAATACACACATCAGCACACACCTGCCAGATGCATACAATACACGCATCAGCACACACCTGCACACATGCATACAAGACACACACATACCTGCACACATGCATACAACACACACACACACACATCAGCACACATGCGTATAATGTACACATACACATCATCACACATCAGCACACACCTGCACACAAGCATACAATACACACATATTCCTACACACATGCATACAACACACACACACACACACACACACACACACACACACCCCACAAAATTTAATTTAAAAAAAAGTATTGCATTGTTCTTACAAGGGGCCTCAGAAGGACCCGCAAACCACGACAGTGGTTTAGGACACACGTCTTCTGATGCCTCAGCTAAGATTTTGATTAGGGTGCTGGCTCGTGCAGAAATGAGATAACCACTGAACTTTCCCTCATCAGTCTACAGTTCCTCACTTCCTGGCCCTTGCTAAGTCTGTCACTTCAGAGATCGGATGGTGGCCCTGTTGGCTCTACTCAGGATGATCATGCAGTATCCTGGGTCCCCCTACTTCATACTGTTGTCACAGGTGCTGGGGGTGGGGCTGCTCACATCTCTTCTGTTTGGTGAACAAACGTTTTGTATATTCTGTGTACAACACTCACCAAGGACATCTCACATGTTTCCTGGCAACACTCAGTGGTCATAACACCAAGCGGAAGCAGGAAGAATGCGTTCCAGGGATACATAGTACTCTGTCATACCCATGTTGAACAATGACCAAAGAACACTAGATTTGGTCACGAACCAGCAACTGATGAAAGATGTATGAACATCTGTAACATCTGGGGAATGTGTCAGTGTCTTTGCCACAGAAGCATTGTGGGTAAAGTCAAGTATTGCTGAGGGAATGGAGGAGGCAGCCTTCATAAAGGTTGCTATGGAAACAGGCTCGCTGAGCCTCATCAGCAAGTTAGGTTAGCCAAACAACCTGGATCAGCTTGGCTAGATAATGGCTGAATATGCCAAGTCTTCCTTCCCTCTTGGTGTCTTATCTCAGCCAACAGGAGAATATCTCTAGTTATGCAAAACAACAACAAAGGCAGAAACAAAATCCTTGGTGGCCTTGTTTTGGGAACCTGGCCTGGCTGGGTTGCTCTGCATTTCTCATGTAGCAGACGTACAACTGTGTCTCTGCCAGATTTGGACAAGACTACTTCGTATGACTGGCTCCAGATACAGAGAAGGGGCCAACATTTAAATTTTACACACCACTTTCCATACTCCACAAATTAAGAAAATGGAAAGATGCTAAAATTTATCAGATGTTAATATGAAAGGACTGAGTAGCTAACTTGGAGAGGGGGGAGAGATTTAGCAATTATACTGTGAACTTGACAACTTTTAGAAAAGTTTATTTTTTATATTACTACTACTATTGTCCTTTTGTAAAGCTCAGGGACTTGTATGTGCAGAGCCAACCCTCTGCCACTCACCGTCATCCTTTACTTTATTGATCTGAAATGATGTATTGCAGAATCTTGAAAACATCTTTGCTTAGGTATAAACGCACATGAAGTTCTCCCACGTTGACTGCACACTTGAACGTTTGTAAATACACTTGCAGAGTTAACAGTCACCGCCATAACTTCCCTCTCTAAGATTTCCATCACCCTGAGCTTCCCTGAGTCACTCCCATGCCCAGTCATGGCTTTTGCAGCCACAATTTTTTTCCGTGTCTACAAATTTTCTTCCAGGACGTCTTTGCACCTCAGTGTTCTTCTGAGTCTGCCTTCCTTCACTCAGCGTTTTGAGGTTCACTTATGTCATAATACCTACGGTCGCCTGTCCCTTTCTGTTGCTAGATTAGTATTCCAATGTGTAGATGTGCCTCCTGCTGTCTGTACATCCACTAGTCTATAGGCAACAGAATTGTCCCTACTGTGTAGTGTTTTTAAGAGTGCTAGCACGATCAATATTCATGTTCGTATTTATGGGACAGTTTTTTCATTTCTCTTCAATATATACACCCACATGCTGAATTGTTGGGTCATACTGTACGTTCATATTTAACTTTTTCGGAACTACAGAGCATTTCAAATGATATCTTTATGTGTTTTTAAACTTTTCCCATGGTGGTGTGAAAAGCTACTAAAAGGCATTCTTCTGGGGTTCTGGTATTTTGACTGCTTACAGAATAGCTTCTATATCAGCATGGTCAGTATGTAAAAGACCATGTTCTGTAGAAACATTGCAGAGCTGAGCACATTCAGACAGGTTTTTATTACACAGATAATATGTGTATTGTAAAATATAGATGTTACAAACAAACAATAAAAAGAGAAGAGCCACTAATAAGTTATCAGAAATACTTAAGGTCAACACTTGTTACATACCCTGTTCTACCTTAATCCCTCCCTACACAAGTACACACACACACACACACACACACACACGCACGCACGCACGCACGCACGCACACACACACACACACACATTATAAAGTTACAGATGATGAGACAGAAACATCATGCAAATGGTATGCAGGTACATGGAGAAAATGTTATTAGTAACCGAAGCATTCTAAATAGCAGACAGGTGATGCTTTACTGAACCAAAAAGACAACAAGATTTTAAAACTCCCTTGTGGGGGCTGGGGAAATAGCTCAGTGCCTGCTGCAAACACATTAATTCCCCAACGCCCATGTAAAAGCCAGGTGCAGCCGCAGACATCCATAACCTAAGCATTGGAGGGCGTTGGGCATGGGGCTGGGGCAGAGGCAGAGACAGACAGGTGGACCCCTGAAAGCCAGTCTAGCTGACTCCATAGACTCCTGGTTTAGTGAGACACTGTCTCCAAAAGCAATATGGAGAGCAACTGAGGAAGACACCACTCCTTGAGTTCCGGACTCCATACATGTGTGTACATATGCGTGCCTACCCACATACGTGCACACACCCATACATACATACAACACACATAATAAAAACAACTCTACCAGGGTAGAGAAATACAGGAACAGGCTCTCCTGTGACTATAAATTGCTTCAGAGTTTTTGAGGGTGTTGTGCAACTATATATTTAAAGCACACCGTCCAACTTCTCCAGCTCCAGGACAAAGTGGACAAGGTAAAGACAAATATTACAGAAAACTGGAGAAATCCAGACGTTCACTGATATGAGAAGAGTAAAATAAAATGTCTTTTTACACAGGTATATTTTAATAAGGAGGCATAAATATATGTGAATAAATATAAAAAGCTCATGCTCCACACAAATAGTAAAATACTACACAGCAATGAAAACTAATGATATATACCTATACTTATTAAAATATATCAAGAAAAAAAGCAGTTTTCATGAAGACCATGACCCAGGTTATTTAAAAAATAATCATATTTAGCCAGATGTGGTCACAGATGACTGTAATCCTTGAACAGGAGAGGTAAAGCAGGAAGATCATCATGAGTTCAGGGCCAGCCTGGGCTACATAGTGAGTTCCAAGCCTGGGCTACAAATAGTAATATTCATTATTTTTGTTAGATGTATTGGCACACACCTATAATCCTAGCATTTATCAGACAAAGGCAGGAGAATTTCCAATTCTAGGCCAGCCTAAGCTATATATTAAGACACATCTAAAAAAAAAATCATCCTTTAGTTTATAAGTATAAAAATAAAACAAATCTAGAAAGGCTTAGGCCAATATGTCAATAGTCATTATTTTGAGTTACAGAGTTAAAGGAGACTTTAACCTTCTTGATTATCGTTTAGTTTATAATCATGTGCTACCTTTATAGTAAATATAAACAAAAAGATAACATTTTGAAAAAGGTTATTACTTGCCTATGTCTGAGGCCAAACTCTAACAAGTATCAGGCTAATCTTGGACTCAATTTATCAGCCTACAAAAAGTTCAGCTATTTGGAGGTTGGGAGAGAGAAGGACAGAAGCTCGGAAGAAGGAAATGTTGGCTGGGTGGGCACTGGGGCCAGATCAGGACAGCATCAGCTGCTGGAAACCGGACACGTGTGAGGACGCTCCCCAGTTGTGTTGCTGACATTCCACGCATACTTGGCTCCCCACAGCGTGTTGCACCTTCTCGAGAACAAGAACAATACTTATTTTTAACTTTTGTGTTAGTACGGTTTTAGTTAGGGTTTCTATTGCTGTGATGAAACACCGTGACCAAAAGCAACGTGGAGTTGCTGGGGCTGAAGAATCAGCTATGATTAAGAAGAGACCAGTATCACTGAGGCAGAGTTTTCTGGGAAGTGTTTCCTCAGGGTCAGCACATAGAGGCTGTGGTCTAGAGGTGGCGATGAGTGGATGAATGAATGACTGAATGCATGCATGAGTGAATGCCTAAATAACTAAACAGATCATCAAGCCCACCCCCTGAATGACATCTTGCAAACTGTGTTAGAAAAATGCTGACCGTGCTGGGCGCACACCTTTAATCCCAGCACTCAGGAGGCAGAGGCAGGCAGATCTCTGTGAGTTCGAGGCCAGCCTGGGCTATAGAGTGAGTTTCAGGAAAGGCGCAAAGCTACACAGAGAAACCCTGTCTCAAAAAAAAAAAAAAAAAAAAAAAACAGTACTGACCGTGGCTCTCTGGACACCTCCCGTCTTCCATGGTCGGTTACAGTGTGTCCCTGCTTTGTGTCACACACCAAATACAGGAGCTGTTCAGCTAACTCGACTCTGCTCTGTCAACATGGGAATTGCTCCATCAGTGCGTGGAGTCATAGGCCTTTGACACAAGGGTGTGTCTGTGTTGTTGCCAGCTGTCCCCCCCTCGAGGGTGGCGCGCCTTCTGGTACCTGCGCACACCAGCATCAGCATCAGCACTCGACACCAGCATCAGCATCAGCATCAGCATCAGCATCAGCTCTTGCTCTGCCCTTCCTTCTATCAGCAACATCACTGTCTCTACCCTGCTCACAAAACCTGTGAGGAGAGAGACATGCTTGCAGGAAAGCACTGGTTTTCTGTTGCATAGCATGCGAGGATTCTAAATTCAGCCTTGGCCGTGATTTGTTGGTGCCATTCTTCTTTAGCGGGCCCTGCAGAAGACATTTCCCCCAGAGAACATGCCCTGGTGGTTTATGGGACATGAAAGAGAATGTCCAAAATCCAAGTCATCTGAGTACTTCACAAGTAATGCAGACCTATTAGCACTAAACCCAGAGGTCTACAGATGTTTCTGCCATCATATAAAGGACCTTTGTAACTCACGAGAGCGGCAGAAGTATAGATCATAGGAAAAGATTGTTTGTTCAGTTGGCAGGGGTGTTTTCTCCTGGGTAAGGGCTCCCATGTGTCCCAGGCTCTCCTAACTAATTCTGTTCACACGCTAGGAAGAACTGGCAGTGTGGACCCTTCCCCCAGACTTATGGCTGGCTTTGATCATTCTCACTTAAAGGGTTACTGATGGTACATTATTATTTCCTTTCCTTCTGAAAGTTCTGGAGAGTTAGGGTAGGGCTCACAGTCGGGGGAACTTACTTTATAAACAGTCAATGTTCTGTTTCTTGTCTTATCACAGACTTTTACTAAACTCAAATGTGGGCTCTTTCTCTAAGTATCTTCAGTTCTGAAACAGTCATTACATGTGTTGATTTTTGTTTGTTTTTGTTTTTGATCTTCTGTTTGCCAGGCTCTCTTACAGGATTTAGATTAGTTGACAGTGTCCAATGTTTCAGCCCGTGGTAGGGTGGCCCCATATCCCAGGGCCTGTGGTGAGACGCATGTGTGGTAGAGCGGACCTGTTCAACCTGTGTCAGCTCAGAAGAAGGGGTGGTAGCAAGAAGGAGCCAGGGCAAGACAAACCTTTTAAACATGTGTTCACTGACCTCCTTCATCCATCAAATCCCCATCTTCCACAGTCTACCACTCACCAATCATCTATTCAGTTGTCAATCACTGGGCTAAACCATTGATTGGGCCAGAGCTGTCATCATCTAATGGCCTTGGAAACACATTCGCGACATACTCAGATGTGCTTCAACAATCTCATCCGTGCCTCTCAATCCAATCAAATAGACCCTCACATTCGGTCATAGCAGACGTTTTCTTCTCCAAAGGGCAACGCCCACTTAATGGTGGTCAAAGCTCCATGGTTTTTATTCTTGTGTGTGCGTTCAGGTAACACGAAGGAATGTCTGTCCCTTTGGGAGCCTGTCAGAGATTTGGTACCATTGCCCAACCAATGTCTTAAGAACAGAATATCTGGCATGAGTCACCAATTTGATATGTCCTTATTAATATTTTTAGAATACTCTGGGAAGCAAGGGTGAGGAGACAAAATCCATGGATTCCTTTCAGAGCCCTTTTTATTACCCAACATAATGTTCTTCCCACAAAAGTGAAAGGCACACCTTGTTATATTGATAAATTATAAGATCTGGAGCTTGCTCTATGAAGCCAAATATGTAGCTACTGCCATCTGTAGGAAGTGTGTGCACCATGACCTCAGTCTGCCAAGCTGGCAGAGCCTGGATGAGCCAGTAACAGGATCCCTTGTCTCCCCAGATGCTGATGCAGAGATTGAAGGAGCCCCCGCAGCGCCCTTGGATGTGGTGTCTTTGGATGCTAACAAAGATTACATCATAATCTCTTGGAAGCAGCCAGCTGTGGATGGAGGGAGCCCTATCCTTGGATACTTTATTGATAAGTTAGTGCTTGGCCTAACATCAATCAGAATTCTGCTGTGGATGTACAGATGCGTACTTGATTTTTCCCATTATTTCTAAGTGAAATGCTTTCTCTTCTGGTTTTTGCTTTCTCTCCCTTTCTTAGTACATTTTAATACCTACTTATTTACAAAAATTCTTTGAATTTGACAACCAACTCATGTCACTAACTTGGCAAGAGAGTAATGACTTTGTAAACCTAACAGCAGAGGCCAATGTAGAAGTGAAATAGCTGATATTCAATATACTTAGCATCAATATTCCTGGTATGACAGTTATTTAAGAGTACTGACTTTAGGAGCACAAATGAATTCCTTATACCATATGATATGGTTTCCAGTTATCTATATTATATAAGAAATAGTAGCAAAAATTCAGTGTTAGGCTACACTTGTACCTATGAGTCCTTGCTGATTACAGTCTTCAGAACTTATGGATCCTGAGATTTGTGGATTTTATACATTCGTATCTACTAGGTTTGGGTAGTACAAGCAATGAATTCAGATTATTGGCCCAAGTATGTGATTCTCTGACTTAGTTTCTCTTCTGATAGTTGCCCCAATTCTTTTTGCTTTTGTGTGTGGAAACAATTAGAGGCAGATGATCTATGTCAGAGTATTACTTGTAACTCATACTCGTAACGGTAAGTGAAAGCATGCCCCGTGTGCTCAGTACCTTCCAGAGAGATGCTTATAATCAGTTCATAGTGTTGAACTGTAGACATGACGTAGATGGAAGCCCCACTTACTTCTGATGAATGTGGAGGATTACAGAAGCTCCTTTCCTGCTGTCAGCTCTGCTTTCTTGTCTCTGACAAACAGCCAAGGGATTTGCAAACTTTACGGAGGTTACAGGCAGTCAGCGCACTCTGTTCTCTGGCCTTGGTCTTTATGGGGAAGCACACCATGGCTAATATTTACCATCTGCTCTGACACTGTTCTAAATGACAGGCCTTGCTGTTACAAGTAAGAAAGAGCTGGACCAAGCCACGTGCCAGCAAGGAAACATTACCTCACCTAAGGTCACATGGGTAGGAAGTCCAGAGCTAGCGTTCAGATACCAGCTCGACTGTAGGTCAGTGCTCATCTGCTCCAACATGCTATAGAAGCTTCTAGAGAAGACACCCTTCACCTTTTCCCCCCTACACACATGAAGGTTAAGAAGCATGGTCTAATGTGGCAGTGTCTGAACAGGGAAGTGGGGGAGTCGGGACAGAACCATGGGAGATAGGTCTAGGACAACCGCTGTAGTCCCCCAGCTTTCTGCCTCCCCCCCCCCCCGACACACACACAAACAGCAACTCCAGAAACTCTACAGAGCAGAGATGTAGGAAAGTGGATAGAAGACTTGAACTGCAGATACATTTGATAGGACTTGACGTAATGTTGAAGAAAACGACCATTATCCATATCAAAAAATGGAAAACGAGAGCAAGGAAGGGAACACCTGCCCCCCTCTGTATTTTATATGGCTCCCGGAATTGCCCTCCCATGAGAACTATTTGAAAATTATGCATTTTGAACATAATGCTGTACAGGGGATGCATTTCAAACTAAAAGCCTTGTGCACTATTGGTAAAAAAACAAGGAATTGCTTTATCATAATGCTGCACAGTTCACTCCAACACTGCATCTCTAAAGCTGTGTTGATTGGTAGCCTCATATGAGCTATCACGTTGGTCTCCTGAGCAGCTCCCTGACTCTGTTATTGGGTGCCGGGAACTACATTAGCAGGCAATTAGAAGTAAGTTTCCAAGCACTTCATCTCCCCATGGGAATCATCAGCCTCGCTGTTAAAGAAACAAGTATGGCAGGGCATGGCAGGCAGTCCCAGCACTTAGGAGGTAGAGGCATGAGGGTCATGAGTTCAAAACTAGCTTGGGCTACATAGCAAGACCTTGGAGAGAGACCAGAAGTTGAAGAAAGAAAAGAAACAAATATATTACAATAACCTCCTGACCCTTGTACCCACACAGGACACAGAGATCATCAACTCAGAAAACAGTGAGCTGTTTCCCAAACTGCAGTACAAACAGTTTTCTGTTCTGTTCTGTTCTGTTTGTTTGCTTTAGTTTTTGGAGGCAGTCCCCCTGTATAGCCTAGACTAGCCTCAAGGTCATGATTGTTCCACCTCAGGTTCCCAAATCCTGGGGTTACAGGTGTGCACTACCATTCCCAGCTGCACACTTATCTTTTAATTCTGCTTTTAAAAGAAAATGTCTAAAGAAGTTGACAAAGAAATCACTAACAGTGGAATTAAAGCTGTCAGTAGGGAGGTGAGTGAGGGATCCCCCTAAGCCTCTCTATAAAGATTCTGGAGAGATGGCCCCATGGTGAAAGCACTGGCTGCTCCTCCAGAGGACCCAGGTTCAAGTCCCCGCACCCACATGGCAGCTCACAACTGTCTGTAACTCCAGTTTACAAGCGATCCAACAACGTCTTCTGTCCTTGGCAGGTACCAGGCACACAAGAGGTGCACAGACATACGTGTGGGCGAATCACCCATACACACTAAAAAATAAAACAAAAAAGATTCTGGATCCCTGCACGGCTTTCTTACCCCATCTCTAACCCCTCTTTTTGACACACAAGACCCCTCAGCTGCTTGTTCAGGGAAGGGCAGAGGCTTCATTCTTCCTGTAAAAAAGACAAGTTGCTGGCAGGTAAGATGTCTTAGTGAATGAAGGTGGATGCCCATATAACCCCACATGATAGAGGAGAAACATCTTCAAGTTGTCCTTTGACTTTCTCTCTCTCTCTCTCTCTCTCTCTCTCTCTCTCTCTCTCTCTCTCTCTCTTTCTCTCTCTCTCTCTCTTAATTGGAATTTTTAAAAGACAGAAATTAAAGGACACATTGAACTTGAGTCTAAACCTAACAAGCCATGCAGGCGCTGCGTGTTTTGACACAGGGAAGGTCTGCAGGGACAGGTGGATTTGCGCCTTGGCCCTCTGCACTTGGCCACACTCGGTGTAACTCGTGCTAACCCCTCTTTCCCTCAGGTGTGAGGTGGGCACAGACAGCTGGTCACAATGTAACGACACACCCGTGAAGTTTGCCCGGTTTCCAGTCACTGGTTTGATTGAAGGGCGTTCCTACATATTCCGAGTTCGAGCTGTGAACAAAACTGGAATAGGCCTGCCGTCTCGAGTTTCTGAGCCTGTGGCTGCCCTGGATCCGGCTGAGAAAGCTAGACTTAAAAGTAAGCCCTGTTCATCATCCTCGAGCCTTTAAAAAAATACTGCGATCAGTGTCACCGTAAGTAGTTCCTCCTCCGTCCACTAGAGGGAGGCAAACATACAGCATCTCTTGGTGGTCAGAAAATCGTGGGGTTCGGGTGAGTCCAAGAACATAAAATATATTTGCTTTTGATTCGTTTTTTAAAACGTCATTTTATTTTATCTTTTAAAAATTACTCAGAAAAGTGTATCTGTGTTCTAAACATTAGGTATGGAATGAAATATGGGAACAAATAGTCCAAAGACCATTTTTTTATTCGCATTATTAGTGTATTCCAAAAATAACTGCATTGATGGTTCAAAGTGAATTTCTTGACCTTGCAGTCTCTGTCCAAGCATTACTATCTAACCCTGTGAGCTTCTCCATGTTGATTAAGAAACAAATTTACATCTGATCCAAATTTGGGGTTCTATTTAGGTAATAATATAAAAAAATCTTCAGTGGTCCAGATGGTTCAGCAGGTAAAGGGACCTGCTGCCCAGCCTGCCTATCTGAGTTCAGTGCCCAGGACCCATATGACTGAAGGAGGGTGCTGACTCCTGCAACTATCCTCTGACCTCGATATGTGCTCTGGGGTTTATATGCAGTCATGTGTACCCACACATACACATACACAGACTCGCGTGTGTTCACACCCACCCACCCACCCACCCCCACACACAATTAAAATATAATCTAAAAAATCTTTAAAATAATAATCATTTCATCTATTTATCTTCCGAGCCTGAATGTCAAAGCCATGGTATGTAACTTAAACCTTCAATGGGAACCTGTGTGGCATCCCCAATACAGGGGACCATAAAATGATGTCCTAAGAAGCCCTAGACAGTAACATGTCTGTCCCAGTAGCCCTCATCACACACTAGGCCAGCAGTTGTTAGCTGAGGGAATATCACGTAGGATGCTTACAGACAGCCCTTGTCTCTGCCGGTGGTGTTATTTACCAGTTGTAATCCAAAAACCTTCCGGATGCTGTCAAATACTCTCGGGAGTGGGAGGTAGCTCATGTGGAGGATTACAGGTCCATTCCGCATTTACAGTTTTATTATTTACCTCAGTTACTTTTCATGTCCTCACAACCCCCCTAGGAAAATAGTCTCGCATTCAGACTCCCCTCCCTGTTAAATTAGTCAGTTCCATCTCATGCTTCTGCTCCTGTTTTATGAATTCCAGTAAAAACCAGATTTTTGTGAATGAGAAACACATTGTCTTCTTTGCTACCTTCCTGTTTCCTACAGACACAGATGAAAAGTGCCCCAAGTAAAGCAAGATTGAACCATTTTTTTCTTTCCTAAATAATCTATCATATCTGTCTATCTATCTATCTGTCTGTCTATCCTCTCTCTGTCTCTTGTCTCTCTCTCTCTCTCTCTCTCTCTCTCTCTCTCTCTCTCTCTCTCTCTCCCTACCTACCTATCTATTTATATGAGTGTGTGTGTGTGTGTATGGGTATATGTGTATGTGTATATGAGTATATGTGTGTGTTTGTGTATATGGGTATGTGTGTGTATGTGTATATTAGTATATGTGTGTGTTTGTGTATATGGGTATGTGTGTGTTTGTGTATATGGGTGTATGTGTGTGTGTATATGGGTGTATGTGTGTGTATGTGTATATGAGTATATGTGTGTGTTTGTGTATATGGGTGTATGTGTGTGTATGTGTATATTAGGATATGTGTGTGTTTGTGTATATGGGTGTATGTGTGTGTATGTGTAGATGGGTATATGTGTGTATATGTGGGCATGCATGCCACAGTGCTCATATGGAAGCCAGAGAACAACCAAGTATCAGGAGTTGGTTGTCTCCTCCTACTACGTGGGTTCCAGTTCTCGAACTCATATCACCAGACTTGGCAGCAGGCACCTTCACCTGTAGACCCATCTCTCACACCCACCATTCTCTTTTTCGTGCTTTTAGAGCCACAGGATGGAGTTTTTAAGTTACACCTTTCTCGCCAGGCAGTGGTGGCACACGCCTTTAATTCCAGCACTCGGGAGGCAGAGGCAGGCGGATCTCTGTGAGTTCAAGGCTAGCCTGGGCTACAGAGTGAGTTCCAGGACAGGCGCAAAGCTACACAGAGAAACCCTGTCTCGAAAAACAAACAAAACAAAACAAAAAACACCTTTCTTTTCCATTTTCCTTACTTGTGACCTAAGCTGACTTCCCACAGACAACACTTTTCAAACACAACAGGAAATGTTTGGCCCCGTTCAGCTCTCCCACCTAATCTGCCTCTGGTCTCCTCTGCCCTTCGTGATAACACATAGAGAACTACTGGGTTATGACTGTCCTCGATGTTTCTCCCAAACATGTCTCTGAAGAGGGCATGGGAAAGCCTATGTTTTTGAGGTGCGGGGGGAGCTGTGTACTGAGCCGTTACATGAGCACAGGCTACTCACTTATCTTGTATAAGTAGAACCACAGAAAATCCAACTCAGTCCAGGGAGACTCTAGATTCTGGCAGGGGCCATGCTTCCCCTAGCACCATAGACATGCTGACAAAGATGCATTAGGAAGACATGTAAGCGGACTAGAACCTGTTTGACTAACTCAGCCAGTTTCTTGGTCTACCAAAGAGTCAAAAGCACATTTGTGACCATGCAGCTTTTACACTTGTCCTGTCTAGGTCGTCCTTCAGCACCCTGGACCGGACAGATCATTGTCACTGAAGAGGAACCCACAGGTAAAAACTCTACCTCTCCGGATGCCACTGCGTGTGTTTTGCTGTGCAATTTAGCTTTGCTTGTAAAAAAAACATACGTGTTATTGTTTGTGAAGCTTTGGAAAGGGATGGTAGCTGAAATAACTCATCTGAGACTCGCGTGTGGGAGAGGTGGGGCTGAGGATTGAGCCTGGGGCCTTGTGCGGGCCAAGGACATACTTCACCCTGGGAGCTGTACCTCCAGGCCCCAAAGACATATTGTGGTACAGTTGTCATAGGATGAACGGTGCATATGTGTGTGCACATGTGACATCATAGCCGTGATCAAAACAGCAAACATGCCCACCACGTCTAAGCCCCAGTCATGTCCTTCCTGCCAGTGGTTGCTCCTTTCACCCCTCCCCCATCTCCAGGTCATCTCTGGCCTGCTTTCTGACACTAGAGTTTGTATTGTCCACGTTTTACAGAAATAGGGTCGGACTCATCTCTGTCTGTCTCCTTTGGTCAGCATACTTACTTTGTGATTTATTCATGTAGATGTGTCGATCAATGAATCACAATTCATCCAGGCCCCGCTAAAGTTTCTGTAAGCCAGATGTGTCTGTGTGGATGTGTGCATTCACTTCTCTAGGGTGGACGCTAGGAGTGGAATAGATGGGCTCTGGGATACGTGACTGCTTCATTTGCAAAGGAGCTGATGTTTTTTCCGGAAATGATTGTTCCACTTTACATCCCCACCAGTACTGTGTGCAAACTCCATGAGAGACCCCTGGTCCCTAGTCTTTCTAGCCTTTCAGCATGCTTGTTGTGATGTTTCGCCTTTTTGATTCATATTCTCCTAATATCGGAAATCTTTTCATGTCCCATTGCTGTGTCAGTTGGCATTTGTTGTTGTTAAATCTGAGTGTTTCGCCTTTCTTTTCCCCCCCTTGAAATGGCATTTGCTCTTACGTTTTAGTCAGTGACCTACTCTAGATTAATGTTTTCTGGCTTGTGTGGGGGACCCCAGTCAGTAGTGTGACTTGCATGTGGCTGTCGTTGTTTGGAACTGTCTATTGAAATGCAGATCTTTCCCTGTGGAATTTGCCTTGGCACCACAGTCAAATCCCACTGAGCACACACCTGTGGATCTACTTCTAGACTCTCCGACAGCCAGCTTTATTTGCTCTGCATCGGTATCGCACTGCCGTGACTACTGTTGCTGTTACGGTCTCCCTCTGTTCCTCAGTCTGACTACAGTATGAGTCAGGGAGTCTGAGCTCTCTCATCTTGTGCCACTGTTTTCCCGAGTTGTAACTATCCTAATCCTTTGTCTTTTCATGTCAGTTTAAATCAGCTTATCAGTTTCTGCCAAGCTGCGGAGCCTAAGATCACATTTAACAACGTTGAGTTCTTTAGTTTGTGAAAAAGCAAATGCCACCTTTTGCTTAGGTAATCAGTGTAGTCATTTCTGTTTAGGAGTCTTGCACATTTTTGTCAGATTTATCTGTATTTTATATGTCTGATATTTTAAATTCCATTGTTTTGCATTTTAATTTTTTATGTAAGTGTATAGAAATACAATTATCACTTACATATTGACCTTATGTCCTGAAGTCTTGTTAATTTGTTAATTCTCAAAATAATTTGAGATTTTTGTTTGTTTGTTTTGTTTTGTTTTTTTCAAGACAGGGTTTCTCTGTGTAGTTTTGGTGCCTGTCCTGGATCTCGCTGTGTAGACCAGGCTGGCCTCAGACTCACCGAGATCCACCTGGCTCTGCCTCCCCAGTGCTGGGATTAAAGGTATGTGCCACCACCGCCTGGCTGAGAATTTTCAATAGAAGATTCTTGGGGTTTTATTTGTGTCATCTGTGAATAAAGATGAATTCTTTGCTAGAACTTCTAGTAGAAGGTACAATAGGAGCACTGAGGAGGAACCGTGAGATCAAACATCTCAGGGGGAAAGCACTTAGACATTTGCCACAAATCTAACATTACTGTGGAGATAGTATGTGTCTGTGCACACACATGTGTGCATGTCTATGTGTGTGTATGATTCAAGCATGTTTGCATGTGTGTAGGTGCATATATGTGCTCATGTATGTGGAGAGTTCACAGTGAGTGTCTTCCTTGACTGCTCTTTACTTTCTTTAATGAGGCAGGGTCTCACTGATTCTGACTGGTGCAGCTAGCACGCTTGCCCTGGGGTTCGCTGTCTCTGTATCCCAGGTGCTGGGATTACAGGCCGCCTCAGTGCCTGCCTGGCTCTTACACGGGTTCTGAGGTTCCAAGCTCCAGCCTAGTGCTTGCTGACAGGCAGTTTGTGCACTGAACCGTCTCCCCGGACGCTCTAGACTTCTGTTTCCTTCTAGTCCTAGGTTTTGTTTTTTTGAGTATATATCAGACATGTGTGGATGTTAGAGCTTGTCAAGTGCTTTTCCTGCATCTACTGAGATTATTAGTCTTTTTTCCGCTAAGTTGGTGAGTTGCATTGATTTGGTTTTCAGCTAGACATCTTCACATCTAGGATCAGTGACACGGCACAGGAGATGGCAGCCGAGCCCAGCAACCTGAGTTCAGTTCTCAGGACCCACGTGGTAGAGAACAAATTCCCAAGGTCGTGTTTTTTGACCTTCTGTGAATTGGTGAATTCTAGGCATGCCCGTACCCACATACACAAACAAACAAACAACAAATAAATAAACAATAACATGAAATGCAAATGGTTAAAACACCTCAATTAAAAGTCAAAGACTAGCCTGATGTGGTAATGTACGCTTTTGCCTTAAATCTCAGCCCTTGGGAGACGGAGATGGGCAGACATCTGTGAGTTTGAGGCCAGGTTGTTCTATACAGTGAGTTTTCAGGGATATATACTTTGTCTTTTTTTTTTTTTTTTTAAAGATTTTTTTATTTATTATGTATACAGTGTTCTGTCTGCACACACCCCTGCAGGCCAGAAGAGGGCACCAGATCTCACTACAGATGGTTGTGAGCCACCATGTGGTTGCTGGGAATTGAACTCAGGACCTTTGGAAGAACAAGCAGTGCTCTTAACCCCTGAGCCATCTCTCCAGCCCCTGTACTTTGTCTTAAACAAATAAAATGATCAAAAGACAAAGACTGTCCAACTGAACAAAAAAAACAGGAGATCCAACTATATGTTACTTATAAAAACCACAGTTTAAGCCAGACATGGTCCCAGGGATCAAACTCAGATCATTAGGCATGGCAGCAAGTGTCTTTACCTTCTGAGCAGTCTCACGGAACCTTGGCTGAGGATTAACATGACTGGATTGAAATCTATTGTCATATTTTTATTTATTACACCGGTTCTCTTTTTCTTATTTTCTCTTTTCTTTGGACTTGAACATTTTTAGTTACTCCATTTTATTTACATTATATCATTAGTTATTCTTTGCTTTAGGGTTTAATATTTGATATTTATGGTATTCATCTTTTCTCAGCCCACCTTTTCCCTTCCTTAGTGCTCTGTTGTCATACATTATATTTGTGTATAATCATAAACTGTACAATATATTATGCTGAGCTCAAATAATCATCTATCTTTCAAAGAGATTTTAAAGGCTAGAAAAAAATTTTATTTAAAAAACATTATTTTAAAGATTTATTCATGTTTATTTTATGTATATGAGTGTTTTGCCTACTACATGTAAGTGCACTTTGTGTGTGCCTGGTACCACCAGACGGAGAGGGCACTGGATTCCCTGGAACTGGAGTTAGATGTGGTTGTGAGCCACCATGTGGATTCTGGGAACTAAACCCAGGTCTTCTGAAAGAGCAGCCAGTGTTCTTAACCACTGAGCCATCTCTCCAGCCCTCTGAAAAAAAGTTTTCTATATTTACCCACTTTTTATCTTTTCCTCCCTCCCTCCCTCCCTCCCTCCCTCCCTTCCGTTTCATACTTAATCTCACACTCAGGAGCCACCATGCCCTTCTTTTCTTTCTCTTTTTATTGTACAGATTCAGAATTCTAGTTGATCAGATTGTCTTTCAAATGAAGCACACCCTTCAACCTTCTTTTAGTGCAGATTTTCTGGCCAGCAATTGTCTTACCTTTTGTACGCCTGAAAAGGTCTTTGTTTGACCTTCATTCTTGTACTGTATCTGCACTGAATACAGAATCCTAGTTGGACAGTTTTCACTCAGAACTTTGAAGAACTTAGTCTAGCTGAGGGGCAGTGACAAAGGCTTGAGCCGTGGATCTGATGCCAAGTGTCTGTGGGGAGGTCTCCCGTCACAGCAGTGTATGGAGGTTTTGCAAGTCTTTAAAAAACTGCATGGACCAGACAATAAGCTTTAAAAAAAGTTATCCCAGCACATTAGAAACAGCCAGAGTAAAGAAAAATGAAAAACTAAAAGGTAATAAAAGTGACATTTAACCTAAGAAAGCAGAGGAGCTGGTGAGAACAGCTTCTGTTGCTCAGAATGTGTTATACAAGGTAACACATGAGCACAAAGCACCGAAACTGGCCCCCGGAAAATGTTTCTGGAACATATGCCATGCTATGATGCTCCAACTCAGAAGCAGTGAGTCCTGTAGAATAAAACAAGTCTTTGCACATTTTAACTTTAAACTTAAAACTCTGGCAAAGGTCCTAGAAATGCAGATTTTTTTTCTTGAGTTGGTTTGTTGAAAATGAATGAATCCAAGAGTAGCTTCCTAATTTAATTTCCCATGAAGAGGGTGCTGCTGAGAGCTGCAGAGCCTGGTGTTAAAGGCCTTAGGGACCATGGTTCACTGTCACTGAAAATCAACGCTTCTACGATGACGTAAATGCTTACGTAAGAAAGTGTAACAGATTCTCTCCTCTTTCTTGGTCATGCGTATTTGGTCTTAACAATGCCATTTGGAAAGGAAATGTCTTGACAAATTGGTGAGTTTTCTTCCCATGGGAAACACAATCACTTTAAGTAAATTACTAGATTAAACTGATGTTTAGGCATTCAAATATTAAGTTGGTCAAAAACAATCAGTTTCTGACAGCCCGTCACAGAAGGTAGGCTTTCCCAGAACACTGTAGTTATTTCTGCAGCTAACAAATAATCATGTAGTTTCTTTTAGCGGCATGGTATTTCTCTGTGTTTTTATAAAGACACTTTAAGTCAGTCTTCGGTGGCTAGATGAAATCACTTGGGGTCATTATGGAATAAAGACATCCTAACTTTTTAAGAAAATAGCCATCATCCATGAGACTATTTACGACTTTCATAGTTACCTATATTTAGAAATATTTAGATATTAAATTATTTTAAGAAATGTAATAGCTGCATTCTCATTTTAATCAATAAAATGTCAATAAATTCTCATGCATGTCCCATTCCTGACAAGATTGGCAGTATCACAAAGAGACTTGGAATCCTACCATCTGTTTAATGGAGCATTTGAGAGAGACAAACAGACAGAGAGAAACACAGAGGGTGGGGGGGAGAGACTTAGTTCATTGTGCTGCAGATCTGTAACAATAACTATTGTCAATGTGATTTTTTGTTCTTGGGTCTGTAGTACATCTTTTTCTCTGCTTGCGTCTATGATATTCTCCTTGTCGCTGGTTTTAGAATTTTGATTATGATGTGTATCAGTGGTTTTCTTCCTATATATTGTGCTTAGGCTCAGCCTGCTTGGCAGGTCTGTGGGTTTATGGCTGTCATCCGATTGGAAGAGCTTCCACTATTGTTGCTTTAAATACTTTTTTTTATGTATTCCTTTCTCTCTCCTCTACTTTAGGACTTTCAGTTATGTGCCACTTGAAACCAGCTGGAACTGTTTCTCAGCTCATTGGTGCTGTGTCCTCTCAGTCTTCATCCTCTTGAACACGTGGCATGTTTATCACCATGGTTTATGTTTGTAGCCACGCCCGTGTCCTTGTCTACTAATTATTGCTTAGCAAGTCACAGATGATATTGATTTTGTCCTCTGGGGCATTTCTGGGTTTGTTACTAATGATCAATTCTCTTCCCCTCAATATAGGCTTTATTTTCTTGCTTTCATACATACTTTTTTTTTTTTTCCTTTTCATTAATACCAGATATTTTGAGTTTATATTGCTGGAGGCTGGATATTTTTAAATTTGTAGAAATGCCTTTGAGCATTGTTTTGAGGAAACAAATCTTTTCAAAGTGGCAGGGAATTCAACTGTTGTGGAGGGGATGGGAGGAGGGGAGGAGGGAAAAGAGAGGAAGGGAGGGAAGACGTTTTCTAATGAAATGTCGTGATTGTGAGGTAGATCCAGCGAATACCGTGTGACTCCCATACTTTTGACCTTGACCCAGAAACCAACCCCACCATCTCACGGCCCACTCTAGACTTCAGATTGCACTTGATGTGCTTTGGAACCAAGCACACACTGCCTTGCACAGTTTGATTTTTCCCTTCATCAGTTCAGCTATTAATCATATAAAGACAAGTCCAGTCCTAGGTCCCCTTGGTCTGTCTGTATGCTAATAACCTCCAAATAATCGAATGAATGATTTATTGTTAGTATTGTTTTTTTAGAGAAGAGCTTAGAGACAAGGATTCTTTATACGGTGGAGCCAGGACGAGAGAGGCACTGTGGCTCTCCATGTGTCCCCAGCTCCCCTGAATATGTGCACCTCACTTTACCTTCTTGTTTTTCAGAGGGGGTCATTCCCGGCCCCCCCACAGACCTCTCTGTCACTGAGGCCACCCGGAGCTACGTAGTGCTGAGCTGGAAACCCCCTGGCCAGCGTGGTCACGAGGGCATTATGTACTTTGTAGAAAAGGTAAGACCCCAGCGTTATCACCTACGCCACCTCCTAACGGTCTTCTTAAGTCACATTGACTTCTGATCACAATGCAATGAAGGAGGGTGGCAGCAGGAATAATCTAAACTCTCCAAATTCTTACAGATTATGAACTGTCTCTGTTAAAAAATATATATAACCCATAGAACTTTATCATGGCGCCTTGAGATTCCCTCGTGTTCCTGAACTGCCTGTATGGTGGTGTTCTCTAGAGCAGTCCTCTCTCTCACTTGCTCTCGTCATAGCTGTCTGTCTGCTGGTTTTTCTGTCACGATAATGAAACATGATGGGGGTAGACGGCAAGAGGAATAGAGAAGTTGTACGACTTTCAAACAGTAGGTGAAGCCAGCAAGCCTTCACACACCACTGTGTGAAGCAGCCCTCTAAATACACAACAGGGTGGGGTTTGGGGTGACGGCACAGTCTAAGATACCGGAGAATTCCTTCCCCCAAATACCTTAGAATCATGCTGGGGGTCAGAACGCTAGAGGACGGTACAAGAAAACGAACTGGGGGAGGGTGATGTGGGGGCCAACCGTGCAGCCATGTCCAAGGGGGGCTGATGTGCACTTGAGAGCAGCAAGTGGGAGGTGCCAAGTGTAGAAATGCCCGAGAATCCACAGACAGCGTGGTACAGAAGCTCTCCTTCCCAAGATCATGGCTCTTGGAAAAGATATTTAAGAAGAATTTGTAACATGAAGAATCAAGTCCATTGCTAGCCGAGTTTTGACTGCGGTGTAAGGGCCGTAGCTCAGTGGAGGGCACTTGCCTAGATTTGTGACGCCCCTGGTTCAGTCCCCACTGTCACAAAACTGAGATCAGGATTTAATCGAGAAGGTGTGTTTGCCTGGTATGTAGAAATGTTTATGTATCTATTCAGAGTAATGCACTCTTGTTAGCAAAAATGAGGCTAGTGTTTGTGCTTTAAAATTTCACCTTTGCAAAATTACATAGAAAGATTTTTTTTTCACAAAAGTATCTGTCTGGCACTCAGTTCTCCCCTTCCATCTGGACTGCACTTTTGATTATTCAGTTTTAGAACAACTGCTGGATCACCTTCCCTTACAGTTACCATGAGAGGGCCCATTTCTGAGGAATATACGTTTATGGAGATATATGCAAACAATATAAAAACAGTGTACAGATACCATGTGTTTTAAGTGCTGGGACTGAACCTGGGGTTCATACACATCAGGCCACTGCTCTGACTGACACCCCCCCTTTTGTAATCATATCGCTGTCCCCTGAGTAGCTATGATCATAGGCTTGTGCCACCAGGCCTGACCAATATACAAACTTGAACACCTTATTAGAATATATTGGTTATATGCAATCATGAATTCCATTATGGCATTTTTTTTTTGTACATCTCATACCTTCTCTCCTCCTTCTCCTGCTGAAACTCCCTCTTTTTCCCCTTCTATTTTCATGGCTTGTTTGGTTTTTAGAGGTTTTGTTATTAATGTTGTTTGGGTTTTTGGTAACTCAATGGATTTCATTAGGGTTGCTTGCAGGAGCAAGGTTGAGGGATTGTATATAGGAACATAGGTGCCTCACCAGTGGTTATTCCCTTCACTACCAACCATAACTAATGAGTACCCATGAGATCTGCCCACTCTACAACAAGGTGTTGACCAACCCAAGTACACGTGGAGCTCTCAATATGCAAATTATATATAGATATATTTATGTATATACAAATGCACCACACACACACACACACACACACACACACACACACACACACACACGCCCACAGCAGCACATGTGCCAGATGACAAACTATGAAAGTTGATTTTCTCCTCTCTCCATGTGAGTCTCAGGATCAAGTTTAGATAGTGAGGCTTGGTAGCAGTTGCCTTTGCTGACTGAGCCGTTTCACTAGTAAAATATGTAAATATCCTAATAGCCTTTTATTTATTTCAAATTTGTGGCTCTTAAGAATTACGCCAGAGTAACACATGTTACGGTCTGTGGTATTCCTTTATTAATTATATTTTGCAGTGAACATTTGTTTGATGTCCTTGAAATGGACATCTTGATTCTTTCTTATCTGCAACAAATTGCAAATAATAAGTTCATGACCATTTTCCCATGCAACACAAACATCTTCCAAGGGTCTGGTTTTATGAAATATGAAATTATACTTACAGTTTCATATTTTCTAAATGTTATCTCCAAATAAAAGTTTGGTAGCATCCTAAGCCATCTTCTATTTTAATAGAAGTAATGATAGAGTAACAGCTAAATGTATATTTCCTGGTATATTTAACACATGTCCACTGCATTTCTTTGACATACTCCATAGGAAGAGGCTCTGAATTAACTCTGTGACAGTAATTACCATTTTGCTGAAATAATGACTCGTAACAACCCACTCTGAGACATGTTCTTCAGGTGAGTCAGCGCTGGCTTCTGTTGACCATTTCTTTTGGTCACATCCACCTGAATTTTTCCATGACAGTCTGTAACTTCCCCAGATCAAAATACATGTCACCTATCATTAGACAATTAAACATTTTTTTTTCTACTGGCCTGCTCAGTTAGATGGAAGAGAAGATAATATTTAGGAGTACGACACTGCACGGAGAAGCCACACAGGGTGTATTCCACTCTTGCAGCATCCAGGATGCTGGATGAGTAAGAATGTAGAGCATATTCAGAGACATAGGATGCAATTACAGAATTTTCTAAATATCAAGCCATTCTGCTATGATCCTAATTATTTTTGATAGCCATTTATGGGTGTTGGCTTTTGTAAGGGTTCACTTACTGGTCCCATGGCATATTTTTCACCCACCTAGAATGTTCATACAGCCACAGTGCTATCTCCTAGGCTGTCCCATGCTTTCACTTGATGGAACTTTCACCTGGGATTTGCATGCACATAAACTATGAGCTGGTCTCCCACGTTACAGGCTTATAGTCAAACACGGAAGCCATGCCTATGACTCCTATGATGGGTGAGACTGAGGGGCTCAATAATGAAAGAAGGAGGTGAATCGGGGTCTTCCTGTAAAAGTCCCCTGTCCTACTGTGTTCTTTTCAGCCCCAAACTCTTCCCTCGGATATCTCACGTCTTGGGTACTTTCTCTCATTTCCCTTTCAAAAATCTGCTATGTCAGGTACACAACAGTGTCACTTGCCAGCACTGCTTCCTGTGGATAGTAGGAGTGACAGGAGCAGTGTTTCCCAGAGGCCACCACTGTCCTGCACGTCTTAGTTAACCTGCTTAACCCTGTTAGGGTCATACTTGTATTTCCATTGTCCTGTTTCATAGATAAGGAAACTGGAGTAATTTATGGGTTTCATGTTTGCTCCAGATTGCACTGCAGGTACAAGTTAGAGGTAGGATTTGAACATAGATTATCTAGGCACAGATCCATAAATCCAGCTGTAGTTGGATATCTCTAACTCAAAAATCCAAATTCATGATCCAGCAAGACACTCAAAATGTTCTGATTTTTGGATTGGGGATACTTACATAGCAAAGTCTATGTAGATTTTACACACACATGCACACACACACACACACACACACACACACACACACACACCCCAATCCCCAAATCTTAAACACTTGTAGTTCCAAGCATTTGAAATAAGGGATACTCCACCTGCATGGCGGTGGGCTGCTTCCAAAGCTTACATCAGGAATGGTGGTGGTGCCTCTGAGAGGGTTAAAGTTACAGAGATGTGTAACATCCATAGAACGGAGAAAGCAGCGATCGTTTTCATGATGAAAGCAAAAATGATTAATGATTGCTCATGTGTTTCCATGAGGAGGTAGGTCAAGTTATAAAAATGTGGGGGAATTGCATCACTCATGGGACAGATCACACATACAAATGACACATTATCATGAAATATATGGCAGGAACATCAGGGTTTCACCTTGTTAAATTTGCCTTATAACAGATGATAGCACTGAATCCCAGAGCACCCATCTCACATTGCAAGGTCATCCAGCTCATTACTAACAGGGACCAGACCCTTTGGGTCCCTTCTGCCATGCTACTAAATACAGCCCATGTCATGTCAGTAGAGATCGTGCTGAAGAGTGTGGCACAAATGTCTGTGTCGTATTTGACAGCTAGTCTGTCCATCTTCAAATGTAGATTTCCAGAAGATTATCTTGAAAATGATCTTTTATCTCTAGCAAACCCAGGCCAAAGCAACAAAATTTGTGCTTTTGCTGACCTTGAGCAGAGCTGGATGCTAGGGCTGGAGAAAGTCTTTGACTTGTTTTCTAACAGTGCTGACTAACTCCTGCCGAAACGTGCATTTGCATCTTTATCCAAGTGCATTCGCATCTTCATCCAAATCACCGAAGGTCATTTTAAGATACAATTTATCTATTCATTCATTTGCTTAAATTTTTTTGGAGATAGGGTCTAACTCTGTATCTCAGCTGGCCTGGAAGTCACTGTGTAGCCCAGAATGTCTTCAAACCCATGACTTTCCTCTGCTTCAGCCTCCTGAGGGCTGAGATGCAGACATGCACCCTCGTACCTTTCAATTTCTTTAAATTTTTTGAAAGACTTTATGGTTTATTCTAAAATTTGGGCATAATTTCACAAAGGAGCATCTTTGTATTTCCATAACCTTATTCATTTGTTCATTCAGAGAAGAAATTTTGAGTGTCCTCTGGGCTGAGGCAGGACAGTAAGCAAGCAGGTCCCCTGAGCTCATGGAATGCACTTTCTGGTAGAGGAGAGAGCAAACAAATAAGTTTCAAATAATGACAAATACTTGAATTGCAAAATAAAGAGGGCGATGAGAGAAGAACACAAACTCCTGTAGACTGGTGAAGGGAGTTGATCTGCACAGGCCTTTCTGAGGAGGTGGCAGCCTGAAGGATGCCATGAGTCATAACCCTCAACTAAAATAACACAGTTCATAGCAACATTGCACAAATTTAAGTATTGAAAACAGTTCATTGAAGTGATGGCCTACCCTAAGACTTAGAAAGATAACTAACTATCCTTGAAATAAAGACTTCTATAAGTAGATTGACAAGCACGCCTGTGTACAAGTGAAGTCAAGTGTTAAAACCGTTTACCCAACAGCTCAAAGCCACACTTGATGTAGAAGCCTGCGGCATTCAGCTGTCCCCTTTCCCCACATCCCTTCTCCAGTCCAGCTCTAGAAACAGGGGTGGTTTGTTGGCTGGTAAACGTGTGAGTGCCCTGTGTGCTCTGGGGGCTCCCAGTGACGTCACTGTTCCTGCTGCAGTGTGACGTGGGAACAGAAAACTGGCAGCGTGTCAACACAGAACTTCCGGTCAAATCTCCTCGCTTTGCTCTGTTCGATTTGGTGGAGGGGAAATCTTACCGCTTCCGCGTCCGCTGTTCCAATTCAGCAGGAGTCGGGGAACCCTCGGAGGCGACAGAAGTGACGGTCGTAGGGGACAAGCTTGGTAAGTCTAGGGTCAGACTGAGCACCTGTGACTTTACGTTGTGTCAAGAGAAGATCCCAAACCAAGAGTAAAATTAAAATAGTGTTGTTTTGCTTATGCAAAGTAAACTTCATGAGTTTTACCAGCTAATATAGTTTTCTATGCCCATAGACATTTCATTTACTATTATGCTTCCTAAATAACATTTTGAGCAAAATACATTATAAAACAAAGCTGCTGTATGTTTAACATGATGTGTAAACATGTATGTATGTGTGCTTGTGCATATACAATGGGAACGAAGTATATTAAATGACCTTGAGTTTCATCACCATTTTCTTTCTTACACAGACATCCCCAAGGCCCCTGGAAAAATCATCCCAAGTAGAAACACAGACACCTCAGTGGTGGTTTCCTGGGAGGAGTCCAAAGATGCCAAAGAACTAGTTGGGTACTACATCGAGTCCAGTGTGGTTGGCTCTGGCAAGTGGGAGCCCTGCAACAACAACCCTGTGAAGGGCTCACGGTAATGCACAAATGTGCTCATGGGTGTGGTGTGGTGTGGGTGGGTATGTGTGGTGTTTATGTGTGTGTGTATGTGTGCGCACGCATGTGTGTGTGCATGTGTGTGTGTGGTGTGTTCCAGAATCACTGCAAGCTACATGCAGTACATATATACAGTGGAAGAATAACCCATGTGGGGTTAGAGAGATGGCTAAGCAGTCAAGTATATACTGCTCTTGCAGAGGACCCAAGTTCAGTTCCCACACTGGGTGATTCACAACCACCTGTAACTCCAGCTTCAGGGGTCTGACAGTCTCTTCTGGCCTCCCCAAGAACACAAACAGGCACATTCTCCCCCTCCACCACATATACATATGTACCAGGTACCTTCATACACAGGCACATTCTCCCCCGCAACCCCACACACATATAGATATTTTATTAATAATAGATATAATTAAAAAACCTTTTTAAGAACACATATACATATTTACTTTAAATAGCCAAATGAATTTAAAGCCGAACATGTCTAATATAATATATTTGGAAAAAAAAAGACTTGTAATGTTAAAACATTAAAAGAAACATAAACTATTATCAACAAGTTCATTTTATAGTTCTCTGATTCTCTTGATTTTCTTTTTCCATGGTTACTTTCTGGTCTTTCACATACAAAATGATATTAGACTCCAAGGACCTAACAGGCACTACCAAACATGGATACTTTGGTATTTTTAAGAGAACAGAAAACAGAATATCTGCACATTATTAATTCTGAACATCAACATGATTAAACCCAGGACTGAGCAGATGGAAAATGCCATTGGAAAAATGCCATCAAAACAAGGATGTTCTGAGAGTTTGCCATCTCTTTGTGTCTGTTTTCAATGTGGGTAGAGTAGTTTTTTCTTGCTTTTAATTATTTTCTCAACCAGTTGAGCGTGCTTAATTTAGGACTGACTTGAGAAGTGGTCCCTAGAAAGTGTCTGACGGCCTTGTTGGGCAGCTTCTGTCCTAACCCTTCCAAAGGCCACACATTCCCAGAGGATGAGTGGAACCAGACCCTGAGAGGCTGCAGACCAGCAGAGTCAAGGAAACGCCCCTGTATTCCATCTTTATCTGGGGCATTCAGAAGCCCAAGCATCTACTTTCTACAGAAAAGCAGGAGCCAGTGAAGGGCAGACACTGTTGTTACTCATCTTCATACCTGTGATAACTAGTCCAATGTCTACACCTCTAAAGTACTCAGTAAATATTCACCAACCCCAGTTGACCCTAGACTGAAAGGCACGGCTTCCTTTATTAATTATCCAACAAGTGAGTGGGATAGAGTCCTTAGCAGACCCGTTATTTCTTGAAGCTACAGTCTTCAAGGCCGATTTAACGTTACGTTGAATCATGAACTGCTACTTACAGCTGTGACAGCTGTTAAGGAGGATGGTGATTTTAAATGGGAGCTCACCATGGATTCACACAGTGTTGCTGGATCTTTGTATCTAAATGGTAATTCTGGAAACTATTTTTCACTTCGTGTCAGATTGCAGTGTAATTTCTCAAGTAATGGTTCCTTCCCGGGCACAAAGAAGGTAGCGGTTAGGTGTCAGTGACAGGATTATTAGTACCTTACACTTTAAGTATATGCCTAACATGGTTACTCATGATATTGTCACCACACCTATTATTTATTAAGTGCCTCCTTTGTTTCAGACCCATTACTGGTATTTTAAATACTAGATAGCTCATCTTTATGCAGAACCAATATGTGGTAGTATTATGGTTTCTCTGTTGAACATTTTCTGATGAATGTTCAGGGTAAGCCAGAACTCTTTTTTTTTTTTTTTTTTTTTTTTTTTGATGGAGTGGGTTTTAAAAATTGCCCAAATTGCCTTCTTATCTAAGGTTCACATGTTACCTGAAGCTCTCATTTTAAAAAAATGAATCTTTTTATAAAGCCAGGCTATTCAGATCACTCAGTTAAGCTGCCAGTCACCTTCCCTAGTCCTCCTGGAAAAGCTCTGAAGGCTTCCTCTCCTCTTCAGATTTACTTGCCATGGATTGGCGACTGGTCAGAGCTACATTTTCCGGGTCAGAGCAGTGAACGCCGCTGGACTTAGTGACTATTCCCAGGATTCGGAAGCCATTGAAGTCAAGGCTGCTATCGGTAAGCTCCTTTTGTGTAGTTTGGCCGAAGAAAGAAATGAAATTTTTCCAACTTTCCGTCATCTCCATAAATGGTTTAAAGTCTCTGATTTCACGCCATGGTTCTGCCGTTACATGATCATTTCTCTTTGGCTCCAGTTGACCACTAACCTTCCATAGCTGACGTCTTACAGATCTTCATCACTTACCAGCGCCTGTCCATCTGTCGTGCTCTCATCTCCACCATTCCAGTCTCCTCAGACACTGCCCCTTGTCTGAGACTTCATGCTAACTCCATGTTCATCCCGGGACCTGGCAGGCCGTCCCCCTTCCGTGAAGCGGTACATCGCCATAACTCTATCATCTTGTACCTAAAAGCCATTTCATCTGCAGCAGAGCTTGGCTTCTTTCTCCTAACAGCACATTACCATGCTTCTTAAAAATGCCTCTAAAGTTCATGCAAGACACATGTGGCTGCTTAATCACATACTTCATCTGTTTGCAAACTAACAGAATAACTCCATCAATAAGGTCATTATATGTATACGTGTGTTATACCTCCCAATCTTGGATATAATTGGGGAAGGGACCCAGCTACTTCAGAAAAACAAAAACAAAATCTGTAATATGCTAACGTATTAATAGAACTATCTGATTCTGTATCTCAGTGATAAGGCACACAGTTTTTTTTTTTTTTTTTTGATTTTTCGAGACAGGGTTTCTCTGTGTAGCTTTGCGCCTTTCCTGGAACTCACTTGGTAGCCCAGGCTGGCCTCGAACTCACAGAGATCCGCCTGCCTCTGCCTCCCGAGTGCTGGGATTAAAGGCGTGCGCCACCACCGCCCGGCCTAAGGCACACAGTTTTGACGTGGAAAGCCCCAATACCAATGTAAAAAGATTAAGCATGTGCGATGGTGCGTACCTATAATTGCAACAGCTGGGGAAGGTGAAGCAGGAGGATTGAAAAGTCAAGGTCATCCTGGGCTACATAGCAAGACCCTGCCTCAAAATCCAAAGCAATAGAACAACCAGGACAAAAACCAGATTTAACGTTAGTTTTCTTCTTTGGCATTAGTTTAAGGTAGACAGTGCAGACATGTTCTTTTGGGGGTTGGGAGGTAGATTTCCTTACTGTTGCACTAACAGTCCTGATTCTGTCATGCAGTTAGGATCTTTAATATTGTGTCTCATGCACTTTGTGGTCCTTTCTCTATTATGTTGAATATTAGAACATATTACCTCTCAATAATTTGGGTTTTTTTTCCCTGTATAAACTAAAACCCTTTGGGTTCTGCAAATAGAAATGGTTCCTGTTCTGTCTGTGGTTTCTTCTTTTTCCCGAAAATATGGAGAAGTTGAAATGTTCCCTGGCGTAAATTCTGTTAAACCAAGATTGTTTTTCGCTCTGCTTGCAGTCCTAATGCTTCTGTTTGTTCTATTACTCAAGAGTAACACGTATGGGGTCTGGCTCACATCGTTTCTGTTGTTGTCTGGTGACTGTAGGGGGAGGAGTCTCTCCAGATGTGTGGCTTCAACTGAGTGATGCGCCTGCTGGACTAACAGACTCCAGGGGGGGCGTGAATGGAGCCTCCCCACCAACCTCTCAAAAAGATGCTTTGCTCAGTAGCAAACCTAACACACCTTCACCACCCAGTAGCCCTCCCAGCCCGGGCCAGGCAGAAGTGAGTAAAGTAAGTGAATCAGTTCAGGAGGAACTCAGCCCGCCACCACAGAAGGCAGCTCCCAAGGAGCAAAGTAAATCTGAGTCCCCGAAAAAGAAGAAGGACCCAGTAGGTGAGAACTGCCAAGTCCAGCTCTTCATCTGTCTCCATCAGTGTCCTCACCTCTCATTGTCCAGATCATATGCTTCATCCGTGTTTGTTCCTCATTTGTTGGTTCTGAATTTTATGTTTCTATTAGCCATTCAGCATGCTTTCATCTAATACACTATCAAAGTCGCCATGTGGGATTGGCTTGGATGCATTATTTCTTAGCCTTCGCAATGACAAAATGTTTACGGGACTGTTTGACAAAGGAGGACTTAGCCAGGAAGATACCCCAGGCCTAGACATGAGGGTAGAAGGACTTGATCAATCAGGTTGTATGAAGCTGAGTGATCTTGACGTGAGTTCTTTGGCATACTCATGGTCAGAACAGGTAGAGGAGAATATTTCATGAGGAAGTGACAGGGTCCCAAGGTCAGAGTTATTAATCTCCATTGTTCAGCCTCAGGTTTTTAAGTGATCATTCATCTTTCATTCAAATCTCTAGTTCTCAGCAGCTGTGAACAGTTCAGAATGGTATTATAGCCAATGAGAATTGCATTCCACAAAGAAACTACATGCCATGAAGGGACTCACGGAAGATGGTTTATTAGAAAGCTAAACACGAGCTGGTTGGGTGCTGTGGGTTATGTGTGTGTTCTAGGAGACGATGCATCACATCAAAGTGCTGATGAATTTTAACTGCTCCTGTCCATTCCTCGTCTCTAGCCCACCCAGCTTTCATACCTTCTCTACTTTTTTGTTTTGAACCCTTATTCGTCCCATTAACTAAGAAGAAATGGAATAGTCACTTAAGGTTCCATCCTCGTAAGTGCTCTGAAATAGAAGATAGAGAGAAAAGGTGTGTGTGTGTGTGTGTGTGTGTGTGTGTGTGTGTGTGTGTGTGTATAGAGAGGGGGGAGAGAGGGAGAGAAATGACTTTATTTTAAAGGTTTTCTTTGTTCTGAAAGTTGTTTTGAATAGGAATGTGATAATTTCTGTAACTTTTATAATCCAAACAAATCCTTGGGAATTCCTTTGATGTCCTGCATATCTAGATAGACTTCTTGCTATGACTGTTACCTTTCTTTCTTCAATGAAAATTATCATTTCAGTGGCCAAACGTAAAGTGGACCTGCAAACCATGTATCTGTACAAGGAGTTTTGAAATAGCCTTCAATTTTTTTTCTAGCTAGGCAGCAGCAAATGCAATGACCACTACATAGTGTTGTGTGCTATGTAAAACATTCTAACATCAGGAATTTAAAATCCTAGGAGTTTAAAATGCTGTGATAAATATGCATCTACCAAGAGAAAGTCATACGGCAGATCATGCCTTGTGCTATAGAATATTTTTTAAAGGTGTGTTTAACTGAGATCCAGGATATTTTCCTAACTGGAGTATACACACAGTCTCCCAGGGTAAGTGTACATGAATATGAAACCATTTGGAACTGTATGGAGATGCCAAGTGAACAAACTGATATGGAAACCAAGATATGTACACATTCTGTTACCATTAGAGATCAAATTAAAACAAAACCACAAAAAAGTGTAGGTCTTGAGGGAAACATTTCTTCCTATGGGAAAAAGATCATTTTCTGAGGACATAGCATTTCACCAGATGAGTTTTTTAAAACTCAATTTAATGATTTCAGTACACGTTCTCAATGTCTATTTTTTTCTCATACACCAAGTCAGGTGCCAAGTTTCAGATCAATCTCACATTTTCATTGTATACGACATCGAGTGCCCTCCTATGTGGCACCAGGTAAGCATGGTGGATGTGTACAGAATTCTGAATGCATTTTCCTCTTACGAGCTATTTACATTGCAACAGCGGCACCATCTCCACCCTATGACATCACTTGCCTTGAAAGTTTTCGGGACTCAATGGTTCTTGGATGGAAGCAACCGGACACAACTGGAGGGGCGGAGATCACGGGCTATTACGTGAACTACCGTGAGGTAACTGGTGGGGTGCCCGGAAAATGGAGAGAAGCCAACATCAAGGCCGTCAGCGACGCCGCGTACAAGGTAGGCCAGCCCGTGTCTCTGTGGTGTGATGCGTCCTGTGAATGAGACTGTGCGTGCATGTGCACACCCAGCACCTGCTAAAGGGTTTCTGTCATTTTGCCAGTGTTCATCGTCAACCCTGGCATGGCAATTTTTGTGAAAAATACCCTTGGTAGGTAAGATTAGTATGGCTAGCCAAGCGGGGCTGACTAATTCTGATTCATACATGTAAGCATGATTTTTTAGAATATTTACCACAAAATGTGCGTTTATTACAAAACTGGTATTTTCTTTCAAACTTAGAAAACATCAGTAACTATGTCACTAGCTTCAGACATTGCTAGATCCTATAACTTTGGATTTTTTTAAATTTTCACAGTTAAAATCGTGATGGCATGACTAGCTTACTTGGCCCTCCCACACCTTGTGGTGTGCTCCCTTTAATAGTGGCTCTTATGGCCAGAAAAGAGAGCACGCATCTCCTGTTGGGGAGGCCTCTACTCCTCAGCCTACCACAGACCCCAGCGGCTCTCTCTTGGCACAGCTGTTGATCTTTGTTAGAGCATCACCTGCGAGGCCCAGGTACCGACTCCCCAGCACTCACAGACACCCACCCAGTGAAAGTCCAGAACAAGGCCAGACCAGGCCCGGAGGAAACAGCTCACCTTGAAGTCAATGCCACACTCTTCCTATTTAACATTTGACATTTATGAAATATCACACACACAGATCAGGCATGGTAATGCAAAAATAGTTCTGTTTTTGCTTTGTGTCACAAGTTTTCATTATGTGGCCCAGGCTAATCTCAAACTTCTAATCCTACTCCTCACCCTCCAAAGTACTACTATTACAGGCTTGCACCACCACACCCAACCACAAAGTTGTATCCTTAAAATTCTTCCATGTTGCTATGTACAGCTTTATTTTCATTACATACGGTGCTCCACCATGTGACTGTACCACCATGTGCCCCCCATTCCCTCATTGATTGCTGTGTGGGCCGTTTAACGGTTTTCAGCCACATCACACAATATGTGTGGAGTCCCTGCTCTGCGTCTTGACCCACATTTGGCTCTTTAGACATTCTCGGTTTTGATAATTGGAGTGTCAAATGCATTTGAATGTCTTTTCCTGTATATAGGCTTCATTTTTTTTGTTTGTTTGTTTGTTTTTCGAGACAGGGTTTCTCTGTGTAGCTTTGCGCCTTTCCTGG